ATATATATATATATATATATATATATATATATAACATAGGAATATTTATAAAGGAATATATCTGAGAAAGTATTTTTAAAACTTATCGAATTTATCTATTTTGAATTAAATATAATTTTCTGTATTCAAATCATAATGGGCATATATATATATGATTTTTACATACACGATTAGACATTTCTTTTTTGCATTTCGTCCGATATTTTTATAAAAAGATTGAAACTTGAAAATCGATATGATATTTCTAATATTTAAAGTTGATTAATTATCCGAGTTATAAAAAAAACATTTGTTCTAACGAATATTTAAATAATAAAAAATATTAATTGAAATAATTAATTAATAAAAAAGAAAATAAAAATATAGGCTTAGCGCGAAATTTTATTGATAAGATACCGCTTACCGCTAAATTTAATACACATCACATAATTTCCTTGTAATGTGACTGTTAGGAATATATACAAAAAGCCATTATAGAGAATTCCTTGATATAAGGTGATACATCAAAAAATGTATAGAATTCATTTAAGGTACGTATGAAGACATCCTATTTCTCTAAATGCGAGTGGTGTTTTTTCAGATGACAAGTGTACAATCAAAATTACGTATAACTAATGTACACAGATTGGTTCCATTAAGTAAATCATGTACAATTATTTAATTATACTTAAGCCGATTGTTAATTACATTCACTTCTTTTGTTTCGCTGTCTCTCATTTTACAAGATCTAAAGAATTTCACTTATCCATAATACGATGTACATGTTAATTACAAGTAGTAATGTCAAAAAAATCGACGTTTCTTAAAAAGAAAGGCATGAAAAATTGGCTTCTTAAATATATTTACTCGTAGAAAAAAAGAAACAAAAAGAGGAAAGTTCCTCTTTAATTCTTTTCTTCTCACGATAAAAGTCTCTTCTTTTCTTGTTCCACATTTTCTTTAATCAACAACTTTCTGTTTATTACTTTCTGGAGATTTATCGCCATTCATTGGTGAACGAGAACGGCTACGGCTTTTGCTATGTTTACTGCCTGATCGAGATCTCGATATGTCACCTCGTGATCTTTCACGGCTAGATCTATCTCTGGAAGAAGAACTATATTAAAGAGATGACTGTGGATTGTTTTTTTTGCGCTAACTATATCGATTAAACTCACTTTGAAGGAGACTTAGCTTTAGATTTGGACTGTGACCTGGATTTTGACCTCTCAGCCTTGGACCTAGAACGAGATCTGGATTTGGACTTTGACTTAGATTTCGACTTTGAGCGGTCTCTTGATCTGTAAAATTATAATTCAAATACAAAATAGAAGAAAATACAATTAAAAATATAAAAATTTTCTTTTAAATGATATTATATTTTGTGTTAATATAAATAATGGCAATTTTTTAAAAAAATTAACCCAAACATAATGTCAAAAATAAAAATGAAACATTTATAGAAAATATTATTAGAAAAATTGCATTAATATTCGATGATGATAAATGCGCAAGAAAAATAGTAAATAAATGTTATACAAAATTATTTATATAACTAAAATTGATGTAATATTAATAGAAGATTGATACCCACTTGGATTTAGATCGAGTTCGGCTACGTTCAGGTGATTTGGATTTGGATTTCGATTTTGATTTAGTATGTGCTCTTGATTTAGAACGGCTGCTGCGACGGCTACGACTGCGAGAACTACGGCGACTCCTGATACAATAAAAAAATTGTAATATATTTGAACTATTATTTACAAAATATATTTAATTAAATAATTATTATATCAATTATAATTATTCTAAGTTATTATGATGTTTTATATCATGCACGACGAATTGGATGTATGATAAATATTCATAAAAGAAAATTTTTAATTTAACCATGAAGTATGGAATGTAACTTTGAAATGATTGAAATTAGAAATTAATATGCTACAAATATGATTAGTATTAAGTAAAAATGATGGAGACATTGCCGCCCCCCCGACAGTACCTTGATCGGGATCGAGAACGACGATAATACCTTGAGCGGGAGCGGGATCGGCGACGAGATCGAGATCGTGACCGTGATCTTGATCTCGAACTTGAGGATCTTGAACGACGTCCCCGTCTCTTATCCTCGATAAGTCTGATTCTACGTCCATTTAGTTCTGTGTCATCCAATTTATCAATGGCGTTCTTCAAATCAGAGTATGTTGCAAATTCTACAACTCTGTAATATTAAATTATATAATTAATCAAATTATATTTATATAATAAATAAAATTTTTTAAATTAATATAATTTACCCTTCGTTCCTGCGTTGTTTATGTGCATCTGCATATGTCACTTCACCAGCCTGTCTCATATAATCCTTCAAATCCTGAGCATCACACAAAAATATGGATTAATATATTATAATGAAAAGAAAACGTTACTTTTATCTTACAATTAATTATAACAAAGTACGATTAATATTCAGGTATGAATAAAACTAAGTTTTGTGTTTCTATACTAAAGATTACGCAGAACTTAAAATGTATCCTGTGCACTTTTATCCACTATACTTCCTCTAATACATATTATGTAATAATCTTCCTTCTTCTGAAACATATAGTATAAGAATCTATCCTTACTGAAAAAACCATGTTATTGTCTCCTGTCTGCCCATACTCTTCAGTGTTGAAAATATATGTTGAAAACATGTGCTCGAATTTAGTATCTGCGATTGATGCAACCTTTCTTTTTATGCAATTCAATCTTTAAAACAAGTATAGTCATTTGTATAGTCAGACCTCCACCCTGCAGAAAAATATATAATCTTACATATTTTTTAAATAATTAACATGTTTCTAAAATATTTTTTTATTTAAATAAATAAACTAATGAATAAAATTTCTGCAGAGCAGCTCACAATAAAACTTCATTAAAATCATGGATATATATAAAAAACTTTTGAAGTCAATTTCTCTACCATTTATTTAATGCAGAAAGAAATTCTAAATTATATAATTCAATCAAAAACTATATGGACCGTTGAAAAGATGGAACTGCATAAGGCAGAGAGAAAGACAGTTGCTTGTGAAATCAAATAGTTAATGGAAGATGAATTGGTCTTGAAAATGCTGAAAAAAATTTTCAGTAGCTTTTAGAATATTTTTCAGGTTATGACTTGTATTTCAAAGCTGACAAAAGTAAATGTAATTAATGTATACAGGACAAAGGAATATATATTTTGTTTGCTATCATAATTGATAAATGAAATTCAAAAAATCCAAAATTGAGCTGAATTTCCACCTATTTTCCTTCGAAAACCAACGTAGAATATTTTTTTGCTGTCATTCATTGGAGATCTCCCTTCTGGAAAATTTGTATTCCTCTTGATGTAATATCCTTTTCTTATTACATTTTCTATGATTTTATGAGGTGGTTCTGATCTATTCTTCGTAATTCATCATCCATAATGATGAAAAAAAAATCTATATTTGGCATCCACTATGTTTTCTTGATTCTGATTGTATTTGTGGGAACCAGGTACGGCTTTATGGACTCTCTCTTGATAGATGCGTGCATGCAGGTAACTCTTTTTCATCTTGATGTCTCTTGGTTATCATCCATAACACGCCACTTTTTCAGAAAAAAATTCATATTCGATGCATTCGAAATTCCTATATGTAATCGTATCCGGCGTGTATTGTAAAACAGCGTTAGGAATCACGTCAATACATCACAATTGTTCCGTTTTTAAATGGACAATCTGCAAATACGCTTGATGACTGAAATGTTTTCTTTGTATATCTTGTACACAAATCCAAAAAAGAGAAGAAAATGGATTCTAACAAAAAGAAAGAAATTGCCTTGCATAAAGAAAAGTTGATATTCTATTCTCATTCGAAAAAGATATAAAATATATAAACGTTCCGTAAAAAACGTAAACGTCTAATTATTTAAAAATGTGATTAATAATAACCAACGAATATGCACAAAGTACGGAAAAATAAACCAACTATATATATGTTGTTATTAAACTAACGGATGCCTAATTTCGAGCACACTTGATATAT